CCTAAGCTTTGTTTTCATCCACAGTGGGGATGAATAGCATTACTCTTAAATGAAAGGTAAAATTAAATAAGTAATTTAATTTTACATATCATTTAACCAATCATTTACATCCACATAGACTGAGGATGCATCCCCACTGGAAATGAATAGCATTTAAAAAAAAAAAGATTTAACTGTTAACTGAGCGTTTGTTTGAGCCACTGATTGGGCCACATTATTTTTTTCATTCTCATCCTTCTACTCATTTTCAACCACACATTTTTCAACAAAATAATATTTTCCAACACATCATTAATTTTTCCTTCTTTTTCAACTACATATTCTCAATTACATCACTTCAAAAAAATGCATTCTCTCATTTTAATGTGTACCAAACGGGCTCCGAAAGAATTTTTTCTAGAGAAAAATGATTATTTTGGAAAATGTTTGGTTAAAAAGTAGAGAAAAATTATCGGACCACATGAAAAACATATTTTTTTATTTTTTTTGAATATGTGACTGAAAATGATTTTAAGAAAAAATAATTTTTGAAAAATTCTCTTCCGAACAACTTCTAAAATAAAACTCGATTGATAGTCGAGTGACCAAGAGTTTTTCAATTGTAAATTTTTTCAACCGACAAGGTGAATTATTATCAGTAAATAGTCAAATTCTTGGTTTTGAGCTTGACACTAACAAAGTAATGATGGTTTAGAAAAAAAAGACCATGGAAAGGCAATGCATACTATTCTTCCCTTCAAAAAAAATGTTTGACGAACCTTACCACAAATGATCATTTCTCAATGGAATTTTCAAAGCAAAATTTGACATCCACTTTGTCACAAAATCTAATGTAATATATTGTAAAGATTTGAGACAAAATGTTCCGCAGCAAGAAAACATGTGCCGTAGGTTTTAAATCAAAAAAGATTTGTTTTTTTCGCGATGTTGAAAGCTTTGGAATATTATTTTCGAGCACTAGAACAAAACCCATTCTTACCCCCCCAAGAACCCGCATCTTCTACTTGCTTGAAAGTACATTATTTTGTAATAAATTTGCCTCAGGTTTGAGAATTATTATTTATCAAGATTATAACAATTCAATACTTGTACATCTAAAAAGAGAGAGTAGATGAAAAGGTAAGAAATTTTTTTTTAAAAAACAATTAAATTCAGTTGTTGATCTTAGGGATTGTCTGATGGAAATTTTTTTAACCAAAAAATCAATTTTTTTACCCTTTTTTTCCACACTTTTTGCTCCACCAGACACACAAAGTCAAACTTTTCAGCTGAATAGTGTTCCCAACGTTCCAAATTGTGATTTATAGTAGAAACAGACAGGCCCTTAAGATCACACAATTAATCAAGCTATGGTCATGCTTAATCATGATGATTAAGTAACAGGAATTGTCCTAGTAGCAATTATCCTGATTGATTAGCAATTCAACATGCTCGATCAACATATTCTTCGAGGATCTTGATTATAATATTTGAAAGGTACATTAGCCGAATAGTTTAGACCCAAATACATAGAATAAACAATAAAAAGCAACAAATCACTATTTATTTATTGCTAGATGATTAATGTTAATTAATTCGATCAAATTAATCCTATATGCCAATCATATAAAATAAATAAAGATAAAAAACAATACCGAAATTGATCGCGAAGGAAAATCCAAACTCCGAATAAAAAACATCTGGGCAAATTTGCTAGTAAATGATTCACTAAAAAAGTTAACTTACAATTAGTTTAGATACTGCTAAATATTAGTTGATTCTGGCTACTTGACTTTAAATCACCAATGAACTCTTTCGATTGTGCACTCCCACAATTCTTAGAATTGTAAGCTACTTTTCTCTCCACATAGATTAAAAAGAATGAACCTCGTTCTCAAGCGTCAAAATTTCAAGCTCCTCTTTCTAAAATTCCAGAACTCTGAAGGCTAATTAAAGAAAGTAGTGTTTCGTTTTGATGTTTGATCTAAGATTTTTCTGTGTTTTGATCAGTAGGATGAGCAAGAGATATTGGAACATGGATTTAGATGTCAAAGCATGGTATCTTGACTTAATTTAAGGCTCAACCAATGTCAAAAAAATGGTTGGGATGAGTATATCAGTCGATGGAACTTGGGTTGGATAAAGAGATATTTGGGAATGTGTAATTGATATTCAAATAACGATCTCTATAATCAAAATATTATTTTTCTATCCGTCGAACCTCTACTCGAGCGCCAAGTGGGTGGCCAACGAGCAGTCCTTGAGAAACAGTCACTATTTTCAGTATAACATTCTTTTCCGATATCCGATTGAGATGATTTAAAGTGCGTTAGAAAGCTGCCCAAATGATGACAATTCTTCTAAAATAGCATTTTCAAATTCAAATGTTTTCTAAGCAAAAAATGCGTCGCAACTTGTGATTGAGAATTTGGAGCATCACTTGTGCAACACTTTGACACTCATTTGACTTCTAATTGTATTACATTGATCATATATGATCTTCTTGGACATTTTTTTACTCATCCAAGGACTATCATATCACCCCTTAACTATTTTGACTTTAATTACAATTCCATTACTTTAATTTTGTCTAAGGAATAACAAATTATGAATAGATCGAAACATCAAGAAAGAAAATTGAAAATTAACGCATTTCTTCCTACGATTATGTGGACAGTTGAAGAACCAAAAAGATGGTGCTATGATAACCGAGCCAAGCATGATAAGCTGCTTCCTCAACAATACACTAGCATCAATCTTTTCCTTATTAAAAATAGAATAAAGCTTCAGGTCCCATGTTGCTGACTTGGCATAGTTTTGGCCGCAAAATTGGGCTTATTCTTTAAGCTATAAACCCATCCAAACATGCATAAAAGTTGCTTTAAGGTAAGAAAAAAAGATTGCAGCATCAGGATCCAAATGCAGCGAAGTACATTTCTCAATGGGAAGGTCCTTGAGAAATACCCAACTGATGAGATCGAGACCTTAAGAATCAGTCGGTGGAAATACGAAGATGTGTACTAAATATTTCTAAAGAATATGTACCCTATTGTGCATTCAGATATTAAGTAAACGATGTACATATTTAACATTTACTGGGCACATATCATGTCGAAAGTACAGTCAAGGATTCAATAATGCCGTAAAGAGAATCGACTACAAATTGACCACCTTGAGGATATAAAATATTGTTGTGCTTATAATATTTGAGGATATAAACATAGCCACGAAATCTTAACCTCAAAACAAATAACATGGCAATCCTAAACAACCAAAAAGCCCATTAGCATTTTCATATATCATAAAACCAAAACATTGTTAATTTAAAATGCTCATGTATCTCGTGCAATTTACAATATAATTCACAGTTCAAAAATGCTAGATGTACAAGTGTACATCATCCTTGACATTTGATGTATTGTTAAAAGAGTAATGATAATTGAACGGACTCAAAGATGGGAAAAAAAGATTGACCGATATTTTTTTTTCAAACTGTCCAATCATGTGTCGACAAATGTTTCCCCTATTTTTGAGCATGTTTATGTAGCATGATACTTGTTAAAAAAGGATTGGAGGGAAAATTGTTTAATTTTTTAAACTGTCCAATAGTTTGTTTTCAGGTAGTGAAGTGTAAAGAATAATGTAAAAGATGATGTACATGTAGTATGATTGTTCACTTTTGGCTTCACACATGTCGTCAAGGTGTTTAAAAAGTAAATACCAATATTACAACACATCCACAAAGACAAACCACTAAAAACATCTGAGGGTAAAAATGACCAAAAAATCGTAGTGAAAAAGGTTCTCCTCAATCAAATAAGAAATGTAATCTCTATTAAGAATGTGTTTGTTTTTCATTTTTTTCAAAATACATTTTTCTCATTTTTATTTTCAATCACACATTGTTCAATAAAATAATATTATATGCAAATTCAAAACGTTTTCTTATTTTTTAGTTAGACATTCTCTATCAAATCACCATTCCAAAATACATTTTTGGCTATGAGACTCAAAAAAACTCTAGATTTCGGAAATACTCCTGGGAAAAGAGGTCATATTTATCACAATGAATGCATTTTAACAGTGTTCTAAAAAGCAACGGATAAGCGTTAAGCGGGAGCAAAATGCTTTGCTTCGCGCTTTTTTGCTCTTTTTCATTTTTTTTAACTTTCATTTTTATTGTTTTTCAATCCTTGTAGTTTGAAATGATCTAGTTATTTGCGTACTTTTCACTCGATTTAGCAATGAATTGAAGAGAAAACAAAAAAGAATTCAAACGACAGACTCAAAATTCATCAATAACAGGGCTTTGTTTGTCATTTGTTGTAATTCGCGTCAAAATATTGCATCAAAAACCTCAATGATGTAAGGATGCATTTTTCATTAAATCAAGCAATGTATTTGTGGAAAGCCAGTCGTTTCTTCTGCTATCTTACAATGCAAATTCTATTTATTCTTCTTCTTCTTTTTTTTTTTTTCTACAGAAGCCTGCGGACCATAGTTTCTAGCCGGACGCAGCACCTTATTTTCACGGTCTCGCCATCCGTCCTAGAGTGGGTTTCGACACCACTACTCAGAGCTAGAAGTTTGTTTTGCCATGACATATAAGAGTAATATTTGCATATATAATACACTCAAAATTGACTTGTCAACGATTATAATGATATATTAAAGCAGTATATCGTAAAGAATGTGGTTAAAAAAATAAGTAAAAGTTGTGAAACATAAAGAATGTGTGGATGAAATAGACTTTGACCAGCTTATAAGCAATTATAAGCTTCTAACAGACATGCAACTAATTCTATCATGGGACATTTTCCAAATTAAAAATAATTAACTACCAATTTAGTTGACTATGATTCTATGAAACAGGCATCTGTAAAGTAACCTCCTGCCTGCTGTCCCAATTCAATTTAAAACCAAATGAAACACACAAAAAAGTGTCAACTCAGCACCAATAAATACTATTTAGCAGCCTTATAACCCAGTACATTATTTCTTGTATAAGCCTTATTATCACTCTACTCTACAGTAGAAGCAGAAGCATCTGCCATTCTTGAAAATGGCCAGAAAGAGGTACATCGCACATCTTTCCAAGCTACAATAAGCAATAGTGCATGTTCATACACACATATTTACGTGTATATAGGTGTATATATGCAAAGTTTGACGCTTATATTCTCATATACAGTTCTTACAGGAGCAAACAAGGGGGTTGATTGGAAATATGCAAGCAGATAGCATCTAATGGGATTGTGGTCGTGTTACAGCTCGAGATGAGAAAATGGGTGTTGAAGCTGTATAAAATTTCAAGTCTCTCGTATTTTCTGATGTAATCTTCCTTCAACTTGATGTAATGAATCAACAGTGTAGTTTCCTTGGCAACGTTCAAGAACCATTTTAGGAAACTTGATATAATGGTATGCGACATGTCAAGCCCAGATGTGGGGCATACCAAGCCACCCAAAAGCAGGTTGTGTCAACCTAGCACGATTTGATTTACACTTGCGCTTGTGCTGCTAGTTTGAGACAGCAGTGATATTCTTGTGCATTTTGATGAACCTAATAATCAAGAATCTTTGCAGGTCAGCAATGCAGGAATTGGTGGAGTATCTGGGAATCATTTAAAGACCAGGTATATGTCACCGACCTATTTTCTTACACACAATCAAACTACACTACAATAATAAAAGATAGGCACATGAGAAAACCAACGAAGTTGGGTTGATGAAGAAGTTAAAAATTCAAACTTAAGCAATGGCTGAAGAATGTATAGAAACAAACTACTATGGCACAAAAAGAGGCACTTCTTCCATTCCTCCTATTCTCAGATTCAGGAAGAATAGTAAAAATGTCTGCAACTACAGGGAAACTTCAGGTATAAGAATTTATCACCTAAATTAGCCCTTGTTTGGTATAGATTAAAATCTCAAGTCAAAGTTAACAAATAATTTTAACAACATTATTCATGAACCCACAACTTTTCTACTACACATTTGATCATTTCTACACCGAACAGGGGCTTAGTTTGTCTATGGAATCTAATTATTTCTCCTTATTCTTGTAGAGAGAAATGACATTGACTTGGAGAAGAGTTAAACATGGACTCACTCACTAGAGAGAATAGATTAAATGGTTAATGGATTTCTCAACAATTTCAAGAATGCGGCTTTGGAGTCAAAAGGTTGGCGCCCTTGTAACTATTAGCATATATAGCCATTATTAGGTCTCACTCGTTTAATAAAAATCAACTCAAACGGCTAATTTTTTAATTTAATCTGATTTTAATCCCTCCCAAACAAGCTAATAGTGTCAAAAGCAGCTTTCAATGCCTATACAAGGATTCTTGCCAAGAGAACACTAGTCTATGCGTGAACTGTGTGTGTCCTGGTTTTGTGAAGACGGATATAAACTCGAACATAGGAATTCACACCGTCGAAAATGGGGAAAAGGCCCGTTACGTTAGCTTTTGAAGATGATGTTTTTATATTCTAACTGAACTAAAGACTGAAAAGTTTTAGAATTAACTCATATAGATTGATGAACTGAAACGAGCATACAGACCTTATAGAAGGAGATAATATGACATCTGGCAAACATCTGAAATCTTAGACTCTAAGCCCTAAACTTATCTCGACAAACCTTTTCTAAAGTGATAATAATATAGCTTCCAATAAACATCTGAAATATCAGACCCTAAAGCCCGAACTTATATCCTTGAAATCAACTCTAGTCAAGAGACATCAGAAACTTGTCTCAATGAACTCAACCCTAGTCGAGCCGTCGAGGTTCTCAACTAAACTCGAGCTGGTATTTTGCTACGTTTTATACTTTCATTAATGTTTTACACCCCTAAAAATGTTTTACAAGTATAATACTCCTTACTCAATAGTCAATACAAATTAAGCATACAGATATTCTCATACAATAAAGAGTCAAAAACTTAAGCATACATCAATTTTCTTCATTCAATAAACAGAGTTGGACGAATGGGACTTGAGCCGTCTAAACTTAAGCACACCTGACAGGTATCAACCGAAAAATTCTTAACAATCAATTCAACACCAATCAAGGCTACAATCAGACTATTGTACATTGGCGGGTCTTTCTTGAAAATTGTTTGTATTTCAGACACTAAGGAAAATGATTTACCAGTATAATACTCCAAATTCAACACAAAGAAAGCATACATCATTTTTTTTTTCATTCACTAAAGGGTCACAAAAACATCATCATACCAAACCAATCATTTGACACTCGAGCAATGGTGTTAGAATTCAAATTTTCAAAACGAAACACTACATATATCCAAAAAAGTACCGAGATTGAAGACATTCAATCAATATGCTAGACCAAGCAGTGGTAAAATGAGTGTCAATTCCATAAACGCTAACCCTTCAATCAAGAACCTAATCGATCATTCAAACTTTTCAATAATGTCAGAAATGACCTTCTCCATGTCCAGTTCCTTCATGGGTGTGAAGGGCCTCTTCATATCCAGCAGACTCAAAAAAATCTCCCCACCTTCCTCACGAATTTCAAAGCAGCCTCTCCTCGGCTTCTCGGGATTCACCACCACGTTGACGCCCTCCAGCCCCTTCTCCAACCCATTCTTAACCTGAATAGCTCGAGTCTTGAACGAGTTACACTGCTTGCAGTGTTCGATGACTATGGTCTTGGATCCTTCAAGAACCGCCTGCTCAGGTTCTGCCGGTTGCTGTGATGCTCGTGGGGCTTTAGCCTTTTTCTTGGTGGAAGTGGTTATGGCCTTCTTTTTCTTGGGTGGTCCTGGGTCAGCAGCGGCAGATGGGTTGGTGGTTTTGGCTTTACGAGCAGAGCTCCGGGTAACTCTGGTGGCGGAGGCGGTGGCGGACCTGGTGGTGATGGCGGAAGAGGACCCAATATTTTCATTTTTTCGTTTCTTGGGCGCCATTAGAAATTCAAAAACAAAAACTAGAACCCTAGAAAAATCCCTTTAACAAGCTCTACTATTTTACAGCCTGTGTGAAATTGGAAACTGCAGGTGCTCAGCATTTTTATAGAAGCCTTTTGGCCTGCATTTTCCCGCTCTTTTTGACGGTGTACGTTTACTGGGCCCCACAGTTTGAGAAGATCTGGACCGTTAAAAATAACTTCCTCGAGGGGATAATTGTAAGGGAGATGCTACGTGTACACAATGGTGTACACATGACTTTACACCTCCTTCCATGCCCTCACATGGAGGGGGGCCACACACAATAAAATATTTGTGGGCACCCCTCCATGTGAGAGGAGTGTAAAGTCGTGTGTACACCTCATGGTGTATACATAGCATTTTTCTAATTGTAATTGGTACCAAAGCACGTTTAACATGACTTTTGTTTTTACTCTTGCTTTTTGCAAAAGAGTTTTCGAAGAAAACTACTTTAAACCCCTGTTTGAAGCACACTCTTCCATCAAAAGAATACGTTATTTAACCATTACACTACAAATTCAGCCACCATTTTTGACCATTTGTCTCACAGACGAGTCTCATTTTTCAACCAACGATCATTTTTTTTCTACTTTGGAGTCGAAGAATGAGCTCCAAACAAAAAAAAACAAATTTTTGAAAAAACTTATTATTTCGAAAGTACTTTTAAAGGAAGTTATATTGGATCAACTTCCTGTAAAAAAATTTCCAACTAAAAAAAGTACATTTATAAAATTAGCTATACGAGTCCAAAGCTCCTTTTAACTTTTTAAAAGTCATGTTAAACATGCTCTAAAGAAAGATGGGGGTTGAAGTGTCAACAACAACCTTCCTTTCCATTCTCGTGGAGGTAGTTTTGTAGAAGATTGAGTTAATTAAACGATTAAATACTAAGTCCCTGTTTGATCCACATTATTTTTTCATTTAATTCTTCTACTCATTTTCAATTACACATTTTTCAATAAAATAATATTTTTTTATCAAATCAATAACTTTTATTCTTTTTCATCTACATATTCCCCATTACATAAAAAAAAAAAATACATCATTGACTAAAAAGTGTGCACCAAACGGGAGCTAACAATTATTTTTTATTACTCTTTGCTCATTCAAAAGTAAAAATTTAGGGTCTCTCTTTGCTGTTTTCAGACTATTTTCAATTTTCAGTTTTTGAAAACACTGAAAACACGTTTACTTATCTATTTTCAAAAACGAATTTCCAAAAACAAGTTTAAAATTTACAAAGAAAACGGGAAAACGCCAAAAAGGTCGTTTTGGCCGTTTTTAGTTAAAAAGAACGCACTTTCAGCAATCTCAAAATGGACACTCAAAACACAAAACTCAAAACTAATAACTGAAATACGAAGAGAACAATCTCTCATTAATTATTTATACACTTTTACATAACGTTATCCATACATCATCTATCTATATTTCGTTCAACCAAGTCGTAAAAAAATCTTACGTGGTGAAAGGAAATCCTACGCGGCAATTAACTGTTTTGAAATTTGAAAGTTAATTAAACGAGTAATCAGTAACCTTTACCTTTGATTATTGTTTGCTCATTCAAAATTAAATAACGTTTAATTTTGGGTATTGTTTGATCATTCAAAACTAAAATATTACTGATTGCTCACTCATATTTACACAATGTTACCCATCCATCATCCATCTTAATTTTGTTTTTATACCATTCAATTTTTTATATAACGTTNCATCCATCATCCATCTTAATTTTGTTTTTATACCATTCAATTTTTTATATAACGTTAATGATATTTGGATTGATTTTTGCAAATTACGTTGCTCACTCTATTTTCCTCATTTTTCTACAATTTTTTTCGATTGTCCATTTTTTTAATATTATTTTGGTAATTTTGGACGTTTTCATAACACGAGATCATAATGATAATCTAATTAGCCTTATGCTTGAGATACCTATGTGTCTACTCTCTAATTCTCCATCCTATCAAGCAGGAAATAAAAAATTACATTATCGTGAAAAATAGAAAACAAATTAAGATAAATATAGAAGAAAATATTTAGGTAAAGGAATTTATAGAAAAAAAAAGGGAAATCAAATAAATTCTTAGAAGAAACAATTAACGAAAAATAAATAAATAAAGTTTGAGAAAAATAAAATATACTAAAAATGAGGAAAATAAAAAATACATAGACAGACTAGACAGTAAAAAGATGAAAACAATTATTAATTGATGAAATTTGTATAAAGAAAAAACTTGAAGAAAGTAGAGCGAGTAAAAGTAATTTGCGAATTTTGTAGAATAAAAATCATGAAAATCATATAAAGAAATTGAAAAATAAAAATCGAAAATATTTTTTCTAGAAGAAAAAATGAGGAAAATAGAGTGAGCAACTTAATTTGAAAAAATCAATTCAAAAATCATATAACTAAATTGAGATGGATGATAGATTGGTAACATTGTGTAAACTAGTCAGAATTGAACGTGCGTTGTATGTTATTCTAAAATGATATATAAAGTGTTGTAAAAGTAATATTTAATACTCCATTCGTCCCAATTATATATGTCGCGTTTCTTTTTTTCCTTGTTCCAAATATATAGGCATGTTCCTAATGTAAAATATTTTGTTGTGTTCTTTCACCAATATACTCTTATTAAATTTTACTTACTTAATATGCCAAATTCTTGAAATAATCCAAATACACACATTTCCCACCTCTTGGAAACATGGAACAACTCTCATTTCTTTTTCTTTTTCTTCTTCAAATTCTTTATTAGTTCCAACAATAATTGAGTTTTACATACTAAAAATTAACATTTCCCACTTCTTGGAAACATGGAAGTTACAACTCTCATTTCTTCTTCTTCTTTAAATTATTTATTAGTTCCAACAATAATTTAGTTTTACACACTGAAAATTAAATAGGGGTAAATTAGAAAAGATTTTGGCAAAAATTAAATTTTCAATGACATTAAGAGCATGTATGGGAGAAATTTTAATCAGATTTTTAGCAAAATTCTGACTGTTGGAGCCGCAATAATTGACTCTATTTTCAAAATTTCGCTTGGTTTGGTCAAAATCCTTCCTGTATAACGGTAAGATTTTTACTCAAAATTTGTGAAAAATTTCTCCCAGACAAGCATTAAAGAAGCTTTCTTAATTCGTGTGAAAAATGAAACCAACCTATATAATTGGGATGGAGGGAGTATATTATAGATATGAGTGAGTATCTTGTAATCTTTTATTTCTAAGTGAGCAAGCAATAACAAAAGATAAATGTTATTTAATTTTGAGCGAGCAAGTAGTAACCAAAAGTAAATGTTAGTGACTACTCATTTAATTAGCAAATTTTAATATCATTAATTACCACGTAGAATTTCCATCCACCAAATATAATTTTTGCGATGAAATTTATATAGATGATGGATGAGTAACATTATTTAAAAGTGAGAGAGCCATAATTAACGTTTTATTTTTTAATGAAGTTAATGATTAATCATTTAATTAACTCGTAGAAGATATGTTTGCGAGGTTTGCCCTCCAACATTAACATTGTTTTCTATATTAATGGTTTTTAGTCCCTTGAATATGAGCTCGAATCTTTTTTTTTTTAAATGTATATTTTAGATATAAATTGAATTAAAAAAATAATATTAAAAATAAATAAATAAATAAAGAGAAAATGAGAATTTTTTAATTCTTGCTTTATCCCTGATGACGTGAGCTGCCCCGCCTATCTCATTGCCATCTATATCACATAAGAACATAGATTCACATATTTAAAAATATTCACATATTTTTTTTACTTGAAGTTTTAGCTATGAATCTTGATATTTTGTCATACGAAAAAAAAAACATTTACCAACTATTTATTTTGACGTGAACATCTTGTATTTAATTATTATTGTTATGGTTTATTAATTGCCCCTGTTTTATTCTGCTATGGATAATGTCTATTTTTATCACATGATTGTAATCACTAATATTGTATAATCACTACATTATGATCATCACCAATGTAGATGGCAGCGAGCCCCTAGATGGTGAATTAAAGGAGGGGATGATGTATGTTAAGGATAGAATCTCATATCGAATAAAAATGTAAACATAAACTAATTTATAAAAGATTGTGTTATTTCTCTTAATAATGTTGACCTTTTAAGATGGAACTCCAAATCTTAACATGATATCAGAGCCCATTAAACTCCAACTAGTAATTCGATCTTGTTAAAACTCCAAAATTGAGCATATTGATTTCAACATTGGTCTGCTCAAACGAGCCACCATCTTGCGGAGGCATATTAAATGATAGAATTTCATATCGAATAAAGATGTAAACATAAATCAACTTATAAATGATTGAATTACTCCTCTTAATAAGATTGACATTTTAAGATGGTACCCCAAATCTAAACAGTGTAGGAGGAGAAGATGGTAAATGAGAAACCGATGATGAAGATTTACTTGGAGAATGTGTAGAGTACAAATTTGGAGGATCACATTGTGCGAGAGGAGGAATATTGAGTGGAGAAT